CCAGACCAAATTATTTTAAAGAATGCTCTGCATGAATATCTTGAGGTGAACTTCTGCAAATATATATCCAATTTAAGCTTTAATTAGTTTACATATTTATTTCATGATAAATGGTGTAGCATGGTGAGTATAAACAAAATAATTCGATTGTTTTTGATTGTTTTTAAACTAATTCGAACTCAATTAAACAAAAGCTTCTGGAAAAAATGAAAAATTACCATGGTGTGACATTACAAAGCATTAGAACAGCAATGTGGCAAGTCTTTGATTCCGAACAATTACCATTTTTAAAAAGCAACACTTCATCAGCTGCTGTCATGACGTGGAAAAAGTCTGTAGAAGTGTCCGAATGTTATTGTTTACTTTTTCAATTAAATAGTGAAGGAATCTATTGGATAACTTCGATTAAACTCTTGAGAAAAAATGATATTATTTCATTGTGCAATATCTTTAATACTATTATACAATTATTCATTATTTCTAACTCATGGAAACATACTATTACCATCTTAATCTCTAAAAAACTAGTCTAGAGTTACAACTTGAATAACACTAGACCTATATCTCTTATAGACTTGATAAGGAAACTTTTTACAGAACTAATTAATAAAAGATTTATCAAAATTCTAAAGCAAAACTAAATTCTATCTGATCTCAACTTTGCAGGACTTTCTGAATAAAGCACTATGGAACTATTAACTATTGTCAACTTTGTTATCCAAGCAGCCAATGTCAACAACAAGGAATTTTGGTTTTGCATCTCTAGACATAGTAAAAGCCTTTAATTCAGTTCCTATATTAGCAATTCAAAAGTTCTTTGAAAGAATCAACTGCTCAAACAAATTAATCAAGCTGGTCACCAATTTATTTTCAAATATAGAGATATCTATTAATATTTCATTTGGTCCAACAGACTTCTTTCTAGTCAACAATGGTATAGAATAAGAAAAATTATTATTCCTAATCACATGGGTGATTTTCAATAATCCACTTATTATCAAGCTATCTGAGCATCCCAAAATTAATAGCTATTTAGCCTCCAGTACTCTAGCATATATGAATAATCTTGCACTAATTGCAAACTCCAAGTTCAAACTAGAAAATCTTCTAGAAACAACAAATTAACTCTTCAAAATTAACAATCTTTTCTGCAACAAAGACAAAACTAAGATAATTAATAATATTTCGACCAAAAACAATTTACTTCAACACTTTTTATTAGATAATTATCCTATTTAAGTCCTCAAGCCATGTGAAAGCCTAAGATATCAGGGTATCCAAATCTCTCCTCTCAATATGTTAAAAGCAAATAGAAAGAACTTTGAGAAAATAATTAATAAAATTTTAAAAGAACTTACTTATCAGAAGTGGAAAAAAAAATTCTACAGAAAACAACTGAATGGATAGTTCTTGGGAAATTTGAATACTTTCTCTTAACATTTTATTTTTACAAAATTTTGCTTAACAATCTTTAAAAAAAAGTTAACAAACTTATTAAATCCACCTACAGAATATTTTCAAAATGCTCTAACATGATCTTAGCAAGCAAAAGAGGATTTAAGATTTCTCTGCTTAAGGAAAGACAAAGGTTCTCACTAATTAGCCAAACTTGCAATTTCATTGATCAACAAATATCTTTATTAAGATATTAAATCAATTAAAAAAAGAGATAATCTGGTTTTGTCCACTGTGTAGCCTAAAAAAATTCAATCAAAACAATTGAATTTTGAATACAGCACTTACAACAAAAGGCTTCAAAATCTAATTATACCCAGCATTATGTTCTTTCCACCTTGATAATGCTTAAAACTCAATAGGATTGCTCTTTAAAAACTTTAAAAGACATTACAAAAGAACAGCTATTTATACAGCAAATGTACTAAACATCAAATTCACTAATTAACTTCTCAAATTCAACAGTACTGTCAAGCTTACCTGACACCAATTTATATTCCATACAGGAATTGCAAGATATGGTTCAGAACCAGTTGGTTTAAAAATTTTACCATTTCTTCAAATCTTAGAGGATCTCATGACCCTATCTCCAACATGGGACCTCTCTTTTAAATTGTTAATCCATACCAAACTATAGTTAAAACCCATAAAAAAACATCTAAAATTAGGAAGAGTACATTGTTCAAAGGCAAATATCATTTTCTAAATCTATTTAACAATTTAACTAAGTGTCCAGGCTGTCCATTAAGCACTTCTTACAACAACTCTTATTTTATTTTCTTCATTAGTTTATCTGTATTTTCTTTTTAAATATTCATACAAAGTTCTTCCTTATCCAAATTCTGTTTCAATAATTTGCTAAAGGAAGTTTTAAATACTTTCCAAGCTCAAAAAAAATAATTTCAACACATATATCTTCAACCTAGCTTACTAGCACTATTTCAACCAATAGAATTAGAAAAATTACATCTTTACTCAATTCAAGCTTACAAAAATGATATTGTAGTTAACAATTATCTTATTATATTTTCTCACTCCAGCATTCTAATTTCCAATATCCATTTAACTATAGATGACATTATTCCATAGTGTTAAAACTTAACAATTATCGAAATCAAAAACAATAGGAAAATCATTTAAGAAATTTCAAACAATTCAAGAAGAATAATTAAGTATAATCACTCCTTCATTATTTCAAAACTCAATACCATACATTTCCAAAAATCAATTTTACTTCAATTCATCAAATCAAAAACAAAATTTAAATTGACAATACCATATATTAGAATATTCTGTCACTCCACTTTCCTGAAAATTCAAAAATAAACAATAACAATCTGGACAGCAGTACTATATAGTTAAAGTGAATTCTAAGGTTAACCAAGATCTACATAATATGTGAAAGCACATTAGTAATGGAAATTTTTGGAAAAATTCTAGTTTTTACAGCTTTGAAGTGCTTACTAAATCTTTCAAATATTTTAGAAAGCTAAAGAGCAATTCTTATAGTGATTTAATATTTTTTAGGATCAAAATTCTTTCAGGAACTTTTTTAACTCAAGCTTTTCTCAAACAATTATATTCTTAACAAGATATGAACTCAGAATTGAAAATATAAGATATGTATTTGAGTATATTGAAGCAAAAAAGCAAACAATCCAAATTACTAACACTATAAATAATATATTCTGTTTAAACAAAAATAATATTTCAGTTGATTATATATGGCAAGTAGTCAAACTGTTCTGTAGAGTTATTAGCAAGATCTTTGTCATAACTGATAATGATACTTGAATAAAAACAACTGCATAAGCATTTATTTTTTTTTATAATCTTATATGAAAACCAAGGTGTAACACAGCAAACACTTCTCCTTTTATAGGAATAATCTGGAATCAGGATTTCCATCAATCTCACAAGAACTTTTCAATCAAATCTCATAGTCATTCTTATCAATTCTCAAATTTCAATTTAAAATTAGATGACACAATCATAGACCTTCCATCTATTGTTACAGATGAATTTATAAATAGTAGCTTTAATTTGTCATTATGTTTAAAAAATTTAATTTTCAATCTTAATCAACTTATTATTAATAACACTGAATAGATATTTATAACTGCTCAATACCTTCTATGATGTGTAATGATTTTAATATTTATTTTCCTTTATTATATAGTAGGTTAATGTAAGTAAACTAATATTAAACTTATTGACTTAATATGTTATATAAGAGATGTTATTACTTTTGTTATGTAAAAAATCTGAATTTTTTACAATTAATAAAGTGATAATGTTTATCTACAAAAAAAAATTAATTAATAAAATAAGATAAAAATTTATACTTACTGTATATTTGAAGATATAAAAAATAAGTTTACTTAATAAATTTATTATAAATAAAAAAAAATTTTAAATTATTTTAATATATAAATTTGTTAATAATAAATAAATAAATACAGATTGATTTTTATAAATTTTTTACAAGTTTAAAAAATTTTATTATCAAGTAATATATTTTAAATTTAATAAACTTTAATAAAATTCTTATTAAAACTATAGATAGTAAACTAGTTTTCAAAAATTTTTAAACTATTTAAAAAATTTTACAAAATAAATATATACGTATATGAAATTTTAATAAAATAATTTAGATACAAAAATAAAATATTTTATAAACCAAATGATTTTTTTTTTAAATTTTATAATATTTTAATATTTAGATTTTAAAAAAGATATACAGTATTTGAAATTTTGTATTAGTTAAATCATTATTTATTAAATTATAATAATAATAAAAAGAACAAGTTTTTTTGTCACACCGTACATATATAAAATATGACAACTAAAAAAATCATACTTATTTGCAAAAAAATAACAATTGATAAATACGTAAATTAAATCACGTATATAATATTTTTTTTGTATACGTATCAATGATTTGTCCATTGTTAATTTCAAAAATACAGTTTTAAAAAATTGATTTGTTAAATTGAATTAAGTTTTTGAATTAAAAAAAATGTTTAATATTGGGTTATTGTGAAGTGGATATTTTTATATTGAAAATACTATGACAGATAATAAATACTGTAACTGTTAACAATATTTGTGAGAAAAAAAATTTTTTTAAAAAAAAAAATGGTTTACCGTATCATGAAATAATATGTTGACGTGGAAAATCAATAAATCTGTCATTTTTATGCATTATAATATAAAAGATTTAATCTTTAATACTACATACAGTATATATAGATATACTGTAAATGTATTTATTCGGAAAAAATTTTATTATTTTCAAATTTTCTCTTGAACGGTATAAAATTGCTATTGCATGAGATGCAAATAATAAAAACAATCGAATAAATTAATAGATCGTGACAACCTCGGTGATAGTTAATGGCTAAGTTGCTGTACATGAATACAAATCAAGATAACTGCTGAAGCTATAAGATTATAAAATTAAAGCAATGTAGAAGAAAAGGGTTTAAAAGCTATAATGTCAGAAGATATATATGAAAATTTAAAATACTTGGGACATTTGTCCATTATCGATCGTTTCCGTTATCGTTAGCTACGTAATCGGCAAACTTACGAGCATGTTCTCGTGTAACCCAAACCGTCTGACCGCAACCAAACATCGCGCCGCCTAAAGAACCGTCGCCTTCTAATTTTAACGGAACCAAATCAGGTTCGTGACGAATAATTTGTTGTGCGCGTCTTTTTCGTTCGATTGCGTTCTTCCTTCTGACTTCGGAAGACGCCATGTCCTAATATTATAAAAATGAGCGTTCATCTCATGAAAGAAAAAGTACCGAAACAAATTGAACAATGCTTACATCTGGAGTCATAATCGCAACCCTTTCGGGTCGAATTTCACCGCTTATCACCTTTTTAACAAATTCCGGATTCTTCGTGTCGGCTAGGTTAAAGACTCTTGATCGAACTTTATCTTTGTAATGTCGATCGGCAATACACCTGAAATTCCTAAAGATATTATGTTCAATAGAACTTGCTAGAATTAGGATATCGATTTTTCTCACTAATTTTTTTTAAAAAAGTATTAACGATTAGAGAACTGAAATAGCATAACAATACTAGTGATAGAAGGATTCAAAAGTCATTCTCACCGTTATTGGCGTCAGGAACTGCCTTAATCAATGCATTATATATCAACTTTACGGCTATGCAAAAAGAAAGTTAGATCGAGCGAATATGTCTGAAAATCCTTTCAACACCCACCACGATCTCTATGAGGAGATCCAGTATCAATGCGGTGAGGGCAGTCAATTTCTATATCCTTCAGAGTTATAGGCACTTTATTGATCGACGGATAGGGTTCCGAATCCTTTTTTTTGCGTTTTATTTTGAGAAGATTTTTTTTCCTTGGCATGAGAATCTACCCAATATCTTATTCTTAATATTAATTGTTGTACTTGTATGAATTTACGCTTTGAGGGAAGGAGGATGGAGGTCCTTTTATTTGGACAAGTAGTTTGTGAATAGATGGATAAAGTAATCATATCTGAAAAATGAATCATTACATTTTCTCTGAGAATTTGCAAAGGTGCAAAAAATGAAGTAATTGTTAGTATCTTTTATTGCAAAAAAGATTTGTGTGAAAACAATATTTCGAAAAAAGTTTCATTTTTTCATACTGTATTGTATATTCTTCATGAAAAACGCGAAACTGGAAATTTCAGTAAAATGTCATCATTGGATAGTATGAGCTGATCGCGAGAAAATAGTTTATTTAAACTTTATCGTTTACCAAACAAATAAGAATGGTTCATGCGATTTCGTCGATTTTTTAATTACCTATACTATGGTCAGTCTTCTCTTTCTCTGATGAAGAACCCTACGTCCATTGTACTTCGAGTATTGCTTTATTTTCTTTAAAATCATATAAAATATTGTAGGTTTTTTTTTTTATTTGACCATCTTATTTCTCGATTCTACAAATTATTTTTGAACCACCCTATTATTATTAACTAGAACCAAGGAATTTGGTATACAATGATGTATCGTCAACCGCTGCTCCATCAAATAATTTTGAGATTCTCAAGACAAAAGTTGAAGTAAAGAAATATGGATCTGCGTATCATTTCACTACTCGTGGATTAAATTTTTTTGCGGAAAAAAACGAATAAATAAATTTAATTACTGTATTACAGTAATCTAAGGAGGCAATTACAAAGATTTTATAATAAAAGCTACGATACAACAATAGGATTTTGATTTATACAAAGTTCAATTGGAGGGGCACATCGAAAACAATTCAGTGTCAAGTAAATGAAGCATTGATTGTATCGACAAGTTTTATTCAAGAGATATAAGGAATCAAAATTATTATTTTTCCTAGCGTCGTTTACCACTTGGAGCGTAGTTTTTCGGTTTCACATATACGTGGCATTTGTGGGCATGTCTGAACCAAAGCATTGAATTTTTTTTCTTACTCGTGGAAATCGGAACCCATTGACTACACTGATGACAAAGGCCTTCAGTGCAGTCGCCAGTTTCAAATGTACGAGTTTCTAATGGTGGAACAAATCTTTTCCCAGAGACCGAGGAAATTCCATGGTAAAATTGTTTATGATACCTTAATAAATTTTTAAATCGAGTGAGATGAGAACGTGTGTGCAATAAATTTTATGCGATTTCTCTCACCAGTAAGCACTATTCTTCAGCTGTAACCATTTACCAGGTTTGCAATTGTCACAATATCCTTCTTTCGAGTGCCCGGCGTAACGAACCCATTGAGGTGTATACATATCTCCGGGATACTTTAGTTTTTGCCTTCGCGGCCGAGAGTCAGGTCTTTGATCGTTCAGGTCGAATGGTGGTTCCGGAGTTTCGGGAATGTTGTCATTTAAATCGATTTTTGGTTGAAGTTGATATGGTTCGTATTTTTCTTGTACTTGAATAATTGCATCTTGTCGTGCAAACCCGACAGCCGGAGTCATTGACATCAGCATGTCATCAGAGTCTCCATCTTCCGACACAATAATGGAAGCCGGATCATTGTTAGTCATATGTTTACGGAATATGTCATTGGTAGATTTTTTTCGAATGTTGGAAGCCGTTGGTAAAAGGTATGAAGAGGTATTTGATTCTTCGTATGGAATGTTGGCAAAGAAATCATCTTGAATGGCCCTTTTATGAGACTGTGCATGAATATAAATATTGTTCGAGGAGATTTGCGGAAGTGAGAGGTTTTCTTGATTTGTTAGATTTTCATTCCACCGGATAACCGGAACATCGGTGCGTGACTTTACGTGTTCAACCAAGGGTGGTGGTTGATACTGCACGAGAGTGGCGTAATTTGAGTTGTCGTTCGTGTTCCACGAATGATTGTCATATCCGCAAGTCTCTTTACAACACGGATCGTCGCAACACGTGAGATGTTGAATATTGGGTCGGGAAGGTTCCATAAAAGAAGGAAAACTTGATAGAGGGTTAATCGTAGTCTTTATTCCTAATGGGAAAGAAGTCTGATTAGAAGTTTCATCGGTACACTCCTCGACATCATCACAAACTTCTTCGAACTTGGAGTTCGACTGTTGGTCTAACGAAGTTAGTGTGTCTTGTTGATGGTAATCGGACGCCTCGCTTTGAGCTGGTCGTAATTGCGTCTGTTGCCATGATTGAAACATTGACTCGGAATATAATGACCTACTTCCAAAGTTCTGCCCGTCTTCATTGTTCGAAAGATAGGTATCAATGGCACCATACGAAGTCGTAGTCGGAATGGGCCTCGGTAGAATGGGTGCTTGATCTTTACCGTATAAATTGTTCCGTGTCGAATTAACATTGGAAATTTCATGTTTAATTGAATTTGAAACTTCGGAGCCGCGGGTAACTATATCTGAATGCCACTCGGAAGAGATGCGATTATGTTCATTATGAAATATATAGGCGCCTTGCTCAAAATCGCTTCTGACAGAAGATGATGAAGTGCCAAAACAGTTTCCATTGTTCTCATTTAAAAGATAATGAAGTGGATCAGTCGAACGCGTTTCGGATAACTCCTCTCTGTTATCGCCATTGGGAGTAGTGAATGAGTGAAAATCTTGAACGTACGTGCTCGATCTTTCCTCGGAGCAGTAATAATTTTCGGACCCACTTGAATTCGAGCGTTGGTCAAGGCTCGAATGATTCGGATTTTCAAAACCGCCACTTCCCCCTTGAAAGTGATCGTGTGTTGAATACGCTAGATCTTTATCAAATTTTATTATATTAAAGAATTTCCAAAAGAATAGTCAATATTAAAATTAACGATATAAGACGGAAGTATTTTAACTTTGTGTTGAACCTGAAAAAATTCTTGGTCGAGTACCTTCCTTCGCGAAATATTCATCAAAATTTTCGCGTTGAACCTGATTTTCAGGTGTTATAACTTTGGAAGATAGCAAGGATGTTGACGCATCGTCAACCTGAGTTTGCTCCGTTGACGCGCACGCGTTCTCTTCCTTATCTGTCAAGGAAGTATTGGTAATGTTTGAAGACCCAAGGGAATGAGGCGGTGTTGGCAAGGTGGTTGGAAAAGGTTCGATTTGTGATGAATTTGATTGTGGGCTGTGCGTTGCAAGTGAATCTTTTTTACGAAATGAAAAATTACTTTAATCACACGAAGCAGTATCCGTTAAAATGCCAAGAACCCTTAAATTCATCACCAAGTTTTTTTTCCATTATACATACCAGGAGAATGGCAGGATTCCGGAGAATTTGATTCTCTGACAAGCATTTTCTGATTAAGTTTCAGGGACATAAAAGCTTACAAAGTTCCTCATATATTTATTATTTCCAATATAAAGGGTTGTGGAGAAAAATGTTTTTTAAAACAAGAATCACGACACTTTGTGTAACACGCCGTTATATTTAATAGACAAACACGACGGTAATGCAGTTGTTAGTTAAGAATACCTTTCATTTATTCGATCTATTGATCGCATATGATCATTTTCGTATATTCCTTTTATCAGAACGTATGAATAAACGATCAAGAATGTGATGATATCATTTATGCGTAACAGATGATTTTCTATCAGGTACTGACTCTGTGATTTGATAATATCATATAGAATCAGCAGCAAAACATTATTCCAAGCGAAAAGTTCTGATGGATAGAGTCCTTGCTTACGTAAAAAATATGATGCAGACAGACGAATCATGGTTTATATCCCCAAACGTCTAATGTGCGAAGATTATCTTATATCACATTTTTCAAATTCGTAACTTTTCGTATTTATCCTATCTCTTTAAAAATTGCGTCATTTAAAATACACATGTCTGAAGAGTGGAGAGATGAAGCGACACAAAAATAAAAAAACCTAACACCTGCATTTTACCAAAAATACTATTGATGGGCTTGTTAAAATATATATTTACTTAAATACTAATAAAAGAAATTGTTTTTCAAAATTTTATTATTGCTTTTACAATGATCAGTATTTGAAATACGGTACTTAGATAATTAAAATACGTATGAACAACCGATGACATACTGTGTATGGATCGATCGAATACTGTATACAGTAATCGAGATCCTTAACAAACATGTCTCATTCGAATGATTTCATAAAAATTTTAAATACGTATATTAATAAACTAATAATAACAATAGTAATGAATGAATAATAAATAATTGTAATAAAAATAATTGTAATCGTAATAACATGCATGCATATACTGTAAATACGTAACAAAATGTAAAAAATTTAATAACAAGTAAATATGCCTTGTAAATTAATTAAAAATAATTTCTTATTTAAATTTTTTTCTTTTAATCTCTTATTGATTTTTTATTTATATCTATACTGTATTATTCATTGCAAAAAAATAAATAAATAAACGTGTATTAAATAAATATACAGTATTAACAAATTAAATACTACAATTGAATCCTAAGAAATAAAAACTCTTTTTAAATTAATCTTTGGTCTAATTACTTGTAATTAAGATTTTAAACAAATATTAAAATGGTACTAGCTAATAATAAATTTGATATGCAATGTAAGTTATAATTCATTCTATTAAACTTATAATAAGTTCAATATTGACTTGATACTAAAATAATATCAATAAAATTTTATTTATTATTAAAAAAAATATTTAATTTTTATGATTTTAATAGTGATCAATGATATTTAAAATATGCTTATAATAAAACTTATAAATATAAAAACTTATTGCTTAAATAGTAGTTATTAATTAATTGTTTTCTTAAAATAATCAATAATAAAAAAGATGTCTTAATAAATTGCAATAAAACTTTTTTTTTACTTAAAAAGTCTAAAAATTGTTATAAAAGAAAAGAATAAAAACATTTTAAAATACTTTTAACAAAACAAATATTTTAATATCTTATTTTTTTATTATAATTAATATTATTATCAGATTTTGATACTTTTAATAAAATATATATTCTGTTAATATTTTTTATTATATATTAATTAATTAACTTAAATAAATTATTATTCAAAAATTTAAAATTAATTAAAGATAAATAAAATTTTCTAAAAATTCTAAAAAAAAATTATAAGCTAAAATAATATATATAAAAATAATCTATTTTTAAGTGTATTTTTTTTCTAACAAAATATTTTTAATTTTATAGATAATTTTTTTTGTTTACTTGCAAAAATACATAAAATTTATTTAAAAATAAAAAAGTCATTAAAAAAAAATTAAAATCATAAAATATCAATATTGTAATTAAAAGTACATAAATTTTTATTATATAAATAATAAAAAATTTTGAATTTAGTTATTTTTTAAATAAACAAAAGAATTGATAGAAAAAACTTTTATAAAATTTCATAAAAAAAAACAAATATATTCTTTTAAATTTTTTAAATTTTCTATTGTTATTATTTATATACTATATTATAAATTTACAAATTCATTTAATTAAATTATTGTTTTTTTTGAATAGACAAATATTATTTTTTTCTTTATTTAATTTGTATATTAAAAGTATATATCATAAAAGAAATAATAGCTCTTAATTATAATTACATAAGTTTAATATTGACTTGTCTATAGAAATCAAATAACTAATATTAAAAATAAATTTTAAAACAATATATCTTGTTAAAAGATATTAAATAATTATAAGTATCTATTTAGTGTTAAAGAAAAAAGTATTAATATAATTTTGAATTAATTTGATAATATAATTTGATAATATAATTAGAAAAATTAAAATTGTTTTGAATATAGATTTCTGTAACTAAAACAAAAAAATCATTTGTTGTTAATAACTTTTTTTTTGAGTTTGATTTGGATATTGTTTGTTTTTTATTGTAACAATATAGAATTTTTTTCTTTTTATATATTTAGTGAAAAGATATTGACTATAATATATTGTAATTTTTATATAATATTGTATAATTAAGTTAAGGCTTCAATAGATACCTGAATTCAATTTTTGAAATCTGATATAAAAAAATATTATAGATGATATTATGTCATTTTGACAATTTGCCATATATAAGTTATTGGTTTTAAATTATTATTGAAATGAAGAATAAAATTAATCTATTTTATAATTTAATTAATTTTTTCTAATACTATTGAACATTTGAATATATGTTATATATTTTTAATACAAAGTTCATATCTTGAACAATATAGATCTAAGTACTAGTCTAAATTATATATATATTTATATTTAATTCAAATAAGTTTTAAAAACTGTATTATATTTATATTATTAATAATAATTAGTAAATAATTAAAAATTATATTTAATTTAAAATCATATTGCCAATTAAATTTTCTTTTATAGTAATAAAGAAATATATATAGTCTGAATATAATTAAAAGAGATTTTTTATATAGAAAGTGTTTTTAATAGAAGTTTGATTCAAAAAGTGATTAGATTATTATATTTGTTATTTTATATATTTTTTAGACCTTTATTGAATTTTTTAATAATTTTGATATTATAAAAATTGTAAATCAGGTTAAATGTTTTTTTAATTAATAAGCTTTTAGCTACTATATATGTTTTAATGATATTAAGAATTTTATTGCACTACTTAACACAGCCTTTTAGCTAAAATTTGTTTATTTAACTTAATTATTAAATTATTATTAGATTATAGTACCAGATACTATATTAAATCTATTCAATTATTCTTATATTAAGTTAAACTAGTATCTTGTGATCTGATTTGTGAAGTACTAACTACTGTACTATAGATAAACAAATCTTTTATTTATAATTATTAAAAAAAATTTTTTTATTTTTATATAGTTTAATTAAATTTGATTACAAGTTAAATATTTAAATATAATATATCATAAGACTTTGAAAAGTATCAAATTAGTATTGAAATAGCACTAATTATAATAAATTTAATATATGGATTGTAACTTACTTATATAAATTTATAGCAAATTTAATTATTAGATTGATATTGAAGTGATATTTAAGTGATATTATTAGGAGTTCTAATATATTGTATATAAAAAACTAATAAAGCTATAATAAAATATATTTAATATACCTTTCCCACTTCACGTCCGATTTCCTTTTTAGGAAACTCCCAAAAAACCAAAAAATCAAAAAACTTTATTCACATAATTATTCAAAGAAATATAC